AAATAGATTTCTAAGGTATTTATTCAAATTAACTAAGAATAAATAATGGGTACATAATTGATATAAATAGATACAGACAGGTGCAGATAGATACAAATAGTTATATATATATAGTGAACCTATAACAAACGTAATAAAAAAAATAAAAATAATGATTTAGAGAATAAAGATAACTTTAATAATAACTTGGAAAATGATTCTAAAAGCGATTAAGAAAATGATTTGAAAAGTATTAATAATATAATTGTTTGGAAATAAATGATTTTGCTTTTAATGAAGAAAAAATCTAAAAAAAAAGAATAGAAAAGATAAAAACAAAAAAAGAAATAAAAGAAGAAGTATAAATCGAAATAATCTAAGAAAAAGACTTGAATTAAATAGAATAGATTGTATTATTGCTTTAAAATCAGAATAATATTTTTTTTTGTAATTAGAATAATATCTTTTTTTCTTAACGACTAGATTAGTATATAAATTTTGTAATGGGAATAATTTTTTTTTGACGACTAGATTAATATATAAATAATATAACTAGAATAGTACTCTTTTTTTCTTGTAACCAGATTAGTATATAAATTTGTGATCAGAATAGCATCAATTCTGTTTCTGAGATTAGATTAATATATTTATTTTGTAATCAGAATAATACAAAAGGCTTAACCTGAAATAGTATATATTATATCTCGATTAGCACTTAGATTATTTCGGGTATCAAAGTTCAAAATGATGCTATTTGAGGTATTTACTGTATAATATATAACTGATTTAATATATATTTATAAAGTTGTTTCTATTATATCAGAGTTACTATATATCAAAATTGGTACTATCGATTATTTTAGGTGATCAACAGAATTTTCGATTAGCCGGCAAGTATCGTAGGTTCGCTACAAACTAAGATGATTTAGTTTTGCGTTGTTATTTCTAGCTGTTTGGATGGAATCATATGGGATTGTGTGTGACTGTGAAATGAAAACCTGGAAATCATAAACTTTTAATGGGAAGTTCGGGACTGCAGAGCAAGCTTTTTGGGTCACGTTCAATTTCTGGTCAATCAATCGATGTGCGACTGACTGGTGATGTAAGATTTTACCAGCGGCTATTCACGTCCGTCGAGTCGATTAATCACTGATCAGATCAAAGTAGAGTATTAGAATCATAAGATAGGATGGAAATACAGTGCGAGCTCTCAGAAATACATTTCTCGTATTATTTCATTTCATGTGTCAATTCGACTTTTCCAATAACCAAGACATACCCATCTTACAGTCCTCCACATATTTCCTGGAAAACTTGGTCTCGGGATACCATGTCCAGAAACCATGAGGTAATCCCGGATAGATATCAGTCCTCGTCTCAATCCCATTTTCTTTCAATATATCTTCATAGATAAACCCCTCATCTCGAAGAGGATCTAAGCCACAGATCTGGAAATACGTTGGGGGCAAGTTCTTGTGAGATGCGAATTGTATTGGGGTAGCTAGGGGCGATAGCTCTTTTGCCCCATAGTGTCCTGGTTTTGTTAGAGATGGCATGTTTGGGGTTAGATGTGGATAGGACTTACTGTCGAATGTTTCCGCGATTTTCCTATTCAATAGCGGCGCGTCTTTGTTCTGTTCGTAGCTCAAGTATGTACTCTTGTACTGTTCCGGCACGACTTTTTGAGGGACGACGGGAGGAATCGAGAGGTAGATACCTGTCAGCGGTGGCGATAATTTCTCATCTCGATATAAGTGTGAGACCACAGAGGCAAAGTTGGCACCGGCTGAAACTCCTCCAACTAAGAAGCCTTTGCTGGGGTTAATTCGAAGCTCATCTATGTTTGCAGCAGTCTATTCAATTAGTTCGTCTTCCGGGAAGGCATATAAGATCGAAGGCTTACCCATTTCAAAGCATCATACGCATCATTCACTCCAGTGGGAAATGGATGTTCTGGCGCAAGTCTATAATCGACATTTACCGCCACTCCACCCAGATCCGTCCACTGTCTGCATAGAACAGTTTCATTATCCAACCCACCAAAACAGAATCCACCCCCATGATAAACCACAAAGACAGGGCTACCTCCACTAGGAGCATTCTTCGGTCTATGAATTCTGACTCCGATTGAAGAGCCATCCCGGACCGATATTTGACGATCCTCTTCGATGAACGAAACTTCTTTCAATAATGCTGTGCTGGCTGCAACTTGTTCTTTCTTTGCAGCCGTGAGACGTTGCCTCAATTCTGGGACATTGGTATTGGCGTCAAGCCTGCGGGTCACGGGTGAAGTCTCCAGGATCTGTTCTTTTTAGTATCAATGCACTCACTAGCAACGGACGGAATATGCTTTGCTATTTACCTCCTCCAACTCCGCGTTGATATTCGAAAGACCAAGAAGGTATTCTGCAGAATGCATCTTGAGGGTACTGTATATGAATGTGATGTTGATTTTGAAAGTATGAGAACTTGGGATCAATCGCTAACTTAACAGACATGGAAAATCCCGACTCATTCCGCCAGAAAGTCCGCAACTCTGGTAAGCTAGCATGTGCCACATGGTGGTAAACTACAACAGGAATAGCCTAGTTTTTAACTTCCGGAGTTGCAAAGTTTCTGGCAGCATGAGTTATTGCTTAGTTTCATCCCGTACCAATGGCTTGGGAGATCATCTGGCACTAACGATCCGGCTACAGCTAGCTTGGGGGCGTATCCCCACAACTTCGTGAGCATTACTACTTTGAGAAAGGTTACTTTTTAATTGCGGCCTCAAACTTGACCACAACTTTTTTTGATGAGACGGAGAAGATATGAAGGTAATAGTTGATTCGTTGACTTGAGCGAAAGATGTCCTTTTATTTCAAGCGGGGGTGAGTATCATGTATGGTGTCAGCGGGGGTCCATTATTCTTTCGCTGGAAAGAGATATCACGAGTTTCGTAATGTAGAAGACAATGGGGTCTGTCGATATGGTGATCTTTCGTCTGGGATGAGAAACAAAGTACAGTAAACTCGGTTCACTTTGAGTTCAAAGTAGAAATTAGACGAGCTTGTTTCGATCAATCATGCACGCAACTAACTGACAGTTGGATATCCCCGAGAACGCATGGTAAATATGGCACATTGCGATCGAATACTTCAGAAGAGACTTTCCAGCTCTACTCATGTGCGGCGGCTTGGTACAGACGAGAGATGGATTGCCGATAGTAGTGTAGTGGTATTGATTATACTGCAGTTCAAGTCTCGAAGATATGAACGCTTTAAGTAGTCGCGATCAGTTCGTATCACCTTCACAAGCTTCATATGAATCAGGATTATGATGCGAGGGAACAGCTGCATCCTGTAGCCAACCTGGATATGATCTGAAGCAATTCCTTATATGTCGAAATTGGCAAAGATGATCAAAATCCTCCCACATTAGATTTGAAGAATCTGGGCGCTGGCGCTGGCGGTTGTCGCAAATGCACGCGTTTGGTAAACGAATATACGATTACCGGTACAGGATAAAAAAGGTGCAAGTTTCTTCCTATTTAATTCGCTGGACATCAAATTTTCTGTGACTCCCATCATCTATGCCAATCGACACGTTATTTTCGTGATGATAGATTGATATGCGATGAAGGAAAGGGGATTATTTCGCCTGGAGCTCGAGATGCCTCCTCCACCTTATTTATGGCTTGCTTCTTAAGCCACAATGTGGCTGGTGGTGATCAAGTCAAAGCAAGTCAAGCACGCCTTTTGAGTTCCACTTTGAATGATCAACCTCACTTGTTTATTATATATATTGCTATGTGTATATATTTGTATAACCTTATATACGTAGGTACTGATACTGGTAATAAACTCAGTCTCTTGTCGTGACGCGAACACTCTCCCAAACCTCAAAAATGGCCTCAGCATATTCCCCTGAACAAATCGATCTCTACGAAGAACACATCTCTCTCCCCTCAAAATATCGACAGAAAACCAATCCCCCATTAACTATCGACTACTTAACATCTCTACACATCCACCAAATCTCCGCCGTTCCATACGAAAATCTACTTCTTCATTACTCACCTGATCATACCGTATCCCTAGACCCGCAAACACTCTTCACCAAAATCATAAGCAATGCTCGAGGAAGAGGCGGGTACTGTCTCGAAGGTAGCACATTTTTCAATCACGTGTTACGAGCCCTCGGTTTCCAAGTATATACCGCAGGAGTAAGGATACGAGGAAGATCCACACACGATGGTGTTCCACGCGGTGATTATATCGGCTGGTACCACACCCCCTTTACCTTATTTTCGCTTACTTACCAATCCCAACATCATCTACCGGCATCTCCCTCTAGACTACCTAACATCTCTCTTTCTAGGTTCCACATCGTAAACATAGTCGCTCTCCCCAACACCACCAAGTACATGGTAGACGTAGCCTTTGGCGGCGACGGCGCCACCAAACCTCTTCCCCTGATCTCCGGTCACGCAGTCCAAAATCTCGGAACTCAAGAAATTCGTCTCGTGTACGAAACGATTCCGCAGCAAATCGATCAATCGAAACCGCTCTGGATATACCAATATCGTAACGGTCCCGACAGAGAATGGAATTCTTATTATGCGTTTAGCGAACATGAATTTCTGCATGAGGATTTCGAAATTATGAATTATTATGTGAGTACGAATATGAGCGCGAGGAATTTTCAGACGAAGAATGTTTTGATTGTGGCTTTTGTGAAAGGGAGGGATGAGGAGAGTGAGGAGGGTGGGGAAAAGATTGTCGGGAAGAGAATGTTGGTTAATGGGGCTATAAAGGAAAATATGGGGGGGAGGACGAGGCTTGTGAGGACTTGTGAAGGAGAGAGTCAGAGGGTGGAGGTTTTGAGAGAGCTTTTTGGTATTAGGTTGACGGAAGAGGAGATTAATGGTATAGAGGGGAGCATTGCAGAGTTGAAAGATTCATCGGATACGCGGAGCGCTGTGACAGAGACAGAGAAGTAGGGGGGCTTCAAAAAGAGTATGGGACACTTGTTGTATGTGCAGGGCAAAACATCCGGATTGTATATATTAGACTCTTCGATTATGTAGATTACTATAAAGAGGAAGAGATCCCTTTTTCTTTAGAGGTTTTATACAATCTCCCAAAAGCTTTCTTTCCACTCCACCCTCCTCGTTTTTCCGCTCGCTCGTCTCTAAGTCCCGCCCTCGTCAAACCCCTCAAAACAGCTCCAATCCCCTCCCCCCCTCCCCTCAATATTCCACCCCCTTTTCCCCTCTCAAAACTCCAAAATCCCAAACCAACAACCCCAGACCAAAAATTCACAGCCCTATCACATTATATGAAAATCAGCAGTGCATATGTCTATTTGCATCCAATAAAGAATTGTCAGTACATGCTTCTTTTGTGTACCGATATGTTGGGCGGTTTTGAGATTGATGATTGATGATACCTGAGTGATGGTACCTGAGTGTGTGGATTTTTTTGTTTTTGGTAAGTGGAGATGAGATGGTACTACATAGTAGGTTGGTTGGTTGGCTGGCTGGCTGGCTTTGTGTGTATTGGATTGGATATATTGGCCGATATTTTGAAAGAGGGGAGGGAGTTTTATTTGCGTTTTTAGGTGGTTTGGGGGAGCTGGAGGGTGAGGACGGATGGGATGGGATGGGATGGGATGGGGTGGGATATGTATGGTAGGATGTGATAGGAGGGAAGTTAGGATGAAGTTAATAAAATATAGGCGAGTCTGTGGCTTGATATTTTGATGTTCGATGAATTAGTATGCTCTTGTATATCAAATGGATGCTTCTCCTAGTTTCAGATACAGTATCACAGTATGATGAAGATAATATAAAAACGACATGAATATAAAATATTGATAACAATTGGATTGATATATTCTGAAAGTGTATATGTGTACTGGCACTTTACGCGCTCTCATTATAAGAATAATAAGTTATACATAGACATAAGTCATGAGTATGTACTCGGATTGAGGCGATGATACCCTTTCAGTAATATTATAGAAGCAAATTAGACATCCAACTAGTCATCTAATCATCTGCTCACTCCCATCCCAAATCCGTCTATACACTTCCACCTCCCGCAATCCCATCAAATAATCCAAAATCCGAAAGCAGAAGAAAGTGCACCATTGCACAATAAAACCCAAGATTCACCCCTCTACCCAAGCCTTTCAAGCACCTCCCCCCTATCCCTCAACAAATTCAATACAGGCTGAAACAACATTCCCTCAACCCGCGCCCACCTCCTCAACCCCACCCATTCACACACTCCGTTGTTCTCCCTCTCCAAATTCCTCGGTCCCTCACCTTTTCCATCCCAACTCCCCATCATCCAAACCGCCACATAATGTCTTCCCTCCACACCCTCCTTCTAATCTCTCCTCGGCCCCGCCTCCATCAAACTATTCGTCGCGGTCAGAAATCTCATCTCTTCTTTTCGAAGAACAAATCCTGTTTCCTCGAGAACTTCCCGGACCGCGCATTCTTCGAGCGTTTCGCCGAACTCGAGGTGCCCACCTGGATGCGCCCATTGGTTGTGTCCGTGTGGAACGAGCCGTTTGCCCATTGGGAAAAGGGGGGTTGTGGGAGTGGAGGAGGGATGGAGGATGAAGACTGCGACGCCGATGCGGATTTTGTTTTTGGAGACGGATAAGGTGGGGAAGTAAACAGCTCGAGAAATTTAGCGTGTACTTATTATTAATGGTTGATCTTTGGCTGTGTGTCGAATATGAGTTGCCGATTGTGTGTGGTAGAGGCTATCCAGAAACACTCAAATCATACATAAGCGAGTCACGCAAGCCATTCGTCATTCATCGTGACCTTCTTACCATTCACTCTCTACATTTTCGGGTACCTGATCGAAAACAACATCGTCGACGATGATCATGTCATCCATCTACCTTGAGCGATGGCAGCTCACTTTCAAGTATTTATATCTTGACTTTACACTTACAATGTAATGTCATTTTCCGAAATACAGGAAAAAGGATTCGCATGGTAGGTGGTTGCTAGGGGCTGGATTGAAATTTCCAGCTTTCGAGAATCATATCATATCATATCATATCATGGATATCACAGCATCCGGTGGTCCTTCACAGATTATGCCATAGGCCCATAGACCCCTTCATTTTCGACAGCCGAAGATTTCTCTTAGTCTTTAGTCAAAGACTACCAGAAAAGGATATCCATCGTCCACTGCATAGGCCCGAAGCCCATTTGCCAGATTCAACAATAGTATTGTATAGACCTCTGTAACTAACAAAGCTTCCAATCTAGACCACAATTTGTAGATTACTACACAGTCTTGCGAAAGAGACGGAACTATGAAGTTATGAGCTATGAGATGTCACCATGGGATGACGAGTACTAAAAGAGTATTTGATGAATGAAGTAGGACTATCAGAGCTATACGAAAAATCTACTCTGGATCAGTTAACAAAGGTGGAAATCAAAAGATCGGCGACGGAGACGAGGGTTTCAAGAAGCATATCCAAGCTGCAACCCCTTAATCGCAAGTAACCTTAGTTTCCGAGGGGACTGAAAATTTGTAAAGGTTCTGATCAATCTGGATGCGCAGAATGTCAAGTTATGATTATGTTATAACTAAAACTAATAAGAAATGAAAACTCATAACATGCTTTTGTTTGTATTCCAAAGATATCCTGATTTGATCTTGCCTCGCGCCAGTGTTGAACAAAAGTTCGGTGTCAAGTAAATAATTTTCGCCGAAACTGTGAGATTTCTTGATGCGGGCTTTATGTTGGTGAAGCAACAGTAATCTAATATAATAGTCTATTGTGTCTAATCCTTACATTCGATAATAAGGTAGATAGATATACATGTATATAAAGTGAAAGCTTCGAACCATGGACTATAAACCCGAAATCTAGTAACTCCTTACACTACTTAAAATCGGTAATATCTTGGCTTGCAAAGAGATCAGAACTATGGCCCCCCATGTACGAAGAAGATGGAAGAAATGAATCGCCAATTGAGATTCGTCTTGATAATCATACCATTCCTGTTCACTTCATTATTAAATCAAGCCCGAATCTTCATACGGGGACGTGAATTTTCGTGCGGGTTTTCAGACTTCGCTCGGAAAAAATGCCTTTTGAACCCGAGAATGATCTGACATGCTGGATTCTCATATAGTAGCCACATCTACTGTTTAGATAACTGATGATGAATTGAATGATAGTGAGCATGGCGTGGCGATAAGTTGATCGACTTATATCAAACGGCAGGTCGCATCGCTAAAAGGATTACACTATAGATCGCTTTTGCATAAAGCTACTCTTATCTGTACCGCCATTTTCAAATGTTTATTGAAATGTCAGGTTTTCTAAGTCTGGCGCCACGACTTTCCCTCCTCCTTGGATAACCTGGAATTATCCTGGGGGAGATTTTCAAAGTTACCTCCGTTGCGATCAATGCTGTCTAGAGAAGTCGCCCAATCGGACAAAGGGACAATGGCAGAGCTGCTCCACTCCAGCTTCAAGTCGTTGACAACCTCGTTGGCGGATCCTAAGTGTTGTCTCACCCCAATGTTTGAATGATCAATTGCTGCTATTTTTGGTGGGTTTGATTGAAGCTGCTGCGTCCTTGTCGATGGATCCGCGAGCTTCTAAAGGACGAGAGAGTGGTTAGGTGGTCGTCATTAAGTTTTGGATTGGATGTACTCACATTTAGAAGAGTTTCTTCGCCAAGCGAGAGGCGGCGCTTGTTTTGCGGTCTTTCCCTTCGATCAATATCCTGGGTCGTTTCTCTGATTGGAGTTGAGTTTGATGGAAAGGCTAACCTGAGAGGTGTTATAGCCACTTGTTTATTTCGGAAAGCCTTTCCTTGACGATCGATGGAATTTTGAGCTGGAACAGAACTGGAATCGGGTGTGTGCTTGAGGAGCAAGTGCCAGTCTGAAGGCGTTTTCACCTTCCCCCATTCGACTTTTTGCGTTTGAAACAAAGACATGTCCGATGGAGAGAACGCGTTGTGTGGTGGAGCCTGTTGCGGTATATTAAGTCCTCCACGATCTACACGAGAAAGCATATGAGACCTGGTAGGCTGCAGCATTGGCAGTCTCATGTGACATGGGGATGGGCACTGCTGCCTTTGTATTCCAACACTGTCAAGCTCGCAAAATTCGAGTGGTAATTGACCCGAAGATGATTTGACTAGGTTGGTCGTCTGTGGTTGGTGTGGCTCCAGTATTCCAGGGCTATCTAGCATGTTCGGTTGTGAATGGTGAATAGAGTCATCTGGAATACAAGGTCCACTTCGATCAATAGAAGCAGGACTAACATCAGACGCGGTGTCTGGAATTCCTTGATCGTTTAGAATTGCTAACAACTCGAATTTCAGGTGCAAGCTCGTAGCTTCTTCGCTGGGAGTACGGTAAGAAGTTGTCCCCGTGATGACGCGTTCTCTGCTAGCACCACCCTGAAGATACCATTCGCCCGCAAGTTTTAGTTGGCCGAGAGCAAAGTAGACATCCGCCAACTCGCATATCGATTGCAATGTGCTGGAATGCTTGGAGCCAAGAAGGGCTTTCCGCTTTTCAATCAGGGTGTGATACGCGTTCTCTGCCTCTTCGTATCGATGTTGAAGCTTGTAGACCAAAGCTACATTTGATTTCACATATAGCGCTAAGGCATCCTCCTCACCACCAGAGCATATTTGTAGTTTTCTAAGCCCTTCTTGGAACAGCCCTTCAGCCTCCGAGAAGTTGCCCCTCTTCATAGCAACCTCGCCCAAATTGTTTAAAGATTCTATCACTGTCTTGTGGATCGGACCTTTAAGTTTTTGATAACCTGCCAACGTCCTTTGGTACATATTTGTCGCATCATCAAAGTTCAATTGTAGGACGAGAAGATTTCCAAGGTTATTGACAGTGTTAAGCGTCCGCGGATGTTCCGCACCGAGTATACTTTCTTTTATTGCCAACGCTTGGTAAAGCAGAGGTCGAGCTTCATCCAGCCTTTTTGAGTCAAGATATAGGGCTGCAAGATTATTCATCGTGCTCAGAGTCGCGATATTGTTTGTTCCCAATTGAGACATCTGGGTATCAAGTGACTGGCGGAATAAACGTTCCGCATCAAGATTTCTATCATGTTGACCGTAAAATGTAGCAAAGGTGGTCTGAAATCCTTCAACAAAGCCTCCGTATTCTATGATGCTTTTCTGATCAGTCAAATAACAGGTGGTGTTGTCAATACAGGCATCGATATGTGATAGTAGCTCTTGTCGTTTTTGCAACGAAAACATTTCCGTATCTCTTTCTTGAATAACAGATGCCGTTGATGTGATCGCAAGATACACATACGCCCGGCGTCGTTCTGCAGACTTTCTGAGCTGCAGCCAATCCTAAACTACTATCAATACTTGCTGAATGTGCTTCTCAAAATGAAGAAAATACCTTTACTAAAGGATGGAAAGAGAATCTAACTTCATGGCTAGTAATCTCCATGCTCTGAATGAGCGATAGATTGACGAGGCTGACAACGATATCTTGGAACTTGAAGGTGTCCCAAGAGCCCCCGCTGCAGAAAACAGATCTCCATTCTAGAGAGTGGGCGTTATGAGAATCATGAGTGTTAAATAGCGTTTCGCTAATGCTCGTCGGGCTGAAGTACGCAGCTTGGACCAGGAATTCTCCAATCCACTCCCTATCCTTGTCATTCCCAGAAATCTGGTCAAAGGATAGCTCCCAGGTGGTGAGAACTGATAAATGTTCGGAAGTTCCTTGTGGATCCGCCAAGCCACGTCTTCTTTGGTATTCCCACAAAGATTGTGGGGTATCATTCAGTATAAACTCCTTTCGCTTCTGAAAATGGGTTGAAAACATGTGGAGTGGAAGCTGACGAATTGAAATATAACTTGCAGCTTGATCGATAGCAAGTGGTAGGTATCCGAGCCTTTTGACGATATCTCTTCCCTCCCTCAAATCATCCTCGGTGCCTGAAGCTGACGAGCATCGAGAGGTCAATAATTGTAGACTATCTTCCTCAGTCAGCCCGTCTAATCTCAAGTGACTTCCAAGTCTACCACTTGATATGTGACGACTTGTCACGATGATGGCGCTGTTTTTGTTACTGGCCGCTGGAAAAAAGGATGACAAGTCACTAAAAGACTTTGGATCATCGTAATTATCGAAAATCAACAGCCATGGCTCATTCCAATCACGCAAGATATTTCTCACGAGTGATTTATTTTCCTCGCTACCAGCGAGAACTGTAGTACTGTCGATTGTCTTCAAAATCCTCTCATATCCACGGAACGCGGAAACCCGCGATGATGCATCAACCCAAAACACACCTTTGAAACGGCTGAGATGCTGGTGGCAGAATTCTAGGGCGATTTGAGTTTTCCCTTGACCTCCCACGCCAGTGAGCACAGCTATTGAAGGGTTGTTGTGGCTTGCTTGTAATGCCATCTGGATTTGATCCAAGACATCTTTTCGTCCAACAAAATGGGAAAGTCTCGAATGAGGGACATCAAAGTATGACTTTTTGTCGGACAAGGATACTCTGGGGTTTGTAGCGCTGTGAACATGCACGGTAGAAAGGTGCAATGCGATGGTGGACTTGTATTCTGCCAGAATACCGACTATCTCCCGCACTTTAGTGTCTTTGCCGAAACTTCGAATGCCTTTCCAAGTTTTCTGAAGTTTAGATGCTGCGTTGCTGGGTGTCAGATCTTTGATCAAGCCCTCCAAACTTTGTAATTGACGAAGACATCCCTCCAGAACACGAATCAACGCCCTTTCAGTTGACGGATCTAAACGATCGCGATATTGCGGGGATCTAAGAGATTCGATGGCTGAGACAAGTAAAGGCAACTGTAGACACAGGTCTCGGAAAGCAGTGTTTTGGCGGTATGATTGAATACGATCTTGTATCTTGACACAAGCATCCACAACTGCTATGATATTGGAAGCAATTCCAAGGACAGCGATAAACTCAACTCCAGACATAATGACTGCTTCTCATACAGATTTGTCGAACGAAGTTGTGGGATCTATTAGGGTTTCCTTCTGGGGCTGAGATTGAGATATGCATAATAATACAGTTGGAAACACAGCCCCAGCCACAGTGATGTATGCCATCCTTCAAGTTCTGACGAATGCCACTTGTGCATTATGAAAAGAGGGAAAGAAGAAAGTATTCAAAAGAGGCCAGTTAGCTATAATAACAGCACATAATTTCCGGATTGGAAGGCATTGGAAGGCTGGAAGTACTATTATCAGTACAACAAGCTTGCCGCCTCCTGATGAAACAGACACAGGAAAATACCTAGATAGTTATATTTATTTAATAACATCTATAATTAAAATCAAATGTGACCTAAAAAAACCTCTTTATACAGTATATATAACTGGGTCTTTTTTCTGATCCACTGGTATAATGACGATTTATAACCCATTATTTATTTATTTATTAACTTCCGAATGAGGTTTGATGCTCTGCACGGACCCCCCATCAAGTTGATTTGTTCCTGAAAGGCTGCCCAATGTTACTTCCTCCTATGGAAAATAAACGTCATATCTGAAATGTCAATTTCTATCTACTTACAAAGATAATAGATGAGCTATATGCACATATAATTTGTTATTTCTTGAAGCACTCGTCTTCAATCTTCTTGTCTATATCGATAAAATTAGTATTTTCATGAAGTTAATGGCCATTGTATCCTAATACAACTATCAAGCGACAATACAATACCCATGGCTTCCACCAGCAGCGCCAATCCCTCAGAGCAGACGCCTCTTCTAAGCCCACCGGCTCTCAGTTCTCCAGATACATCGAAAAGAGCCACAAGGAATGTCACCTTTAATCCTAATCCATCAGTTATTACAATTGGTACAAATGGATCTGGATCTGGATCTGGATCTGGATTTGCGCAGTCGCCCAAAGCTTCCTTACCCTCCTCAACAGGCCCATCACCAACATCCGGTATAAGCTCTTCTCTCAATAGCAAACTTCGACGACGAAATAGCTATGGCTCTCCTTTGGTGCCAATGCATCCCAGCATACCAGCATCAAAGATTGGTCCTCAGAGAACCACCAAGAACGTACAGAAGCTTAAGCTTCTACCCAATCCAGACTTTGGCGAAGATGGACCGGATGAAGAGAGTGGACGGGACGTTTATTCACAATACACACGAATCAAAGATCCAACAGCGCGCAGAGATGCTGCAAGATTGGGAAAGGCGGATCGTGATCGATTACCTCGAGTTACCGCATACTGTACCGCCAATAAATACCAACTGGAAAATGTGATGCGTTTTTTGAAGGGCCGAGGCAAGACGAAGGGAGCCAACCCAAAATTATTTGACGAATGTATATATACACCATTTAGATATGGCAAGGACTTTGGAAAAGCGACTTCAGCTCGAGCCATGGAGGTACATAGCGCGCCAGTAACGATGAGGGATCGGAGACATTCGGATAGTGCTATTGAGGTGGAAGATAACAACAAACAACGACGAGAGGACCTAATAGATCTACACACCGACGGTGGTGATATTGCGATCAGCAATGGCGACCACTCACCCGCTAACCAGCGTCTGCCGGAAGTCATTGAACGACAAATGGAGAACGAGACCGAAGCTCTCATATCGGAAAGCAATCCCGATTTCGATACTCAGATACACACACCCGAAGTGTTTCTATTCGACTATGGCGTTGTAGTAATATGGGGTATGTCTGTAGCACACGAGCAACGATTTCTGAAAGAAATAGCGAGGTTCGAGAGCGAGAAATTGGCAGCCGATGATGTGGAAATGGAGTCGTTCAATTTTTATTACACCAAAGAGTATCAAGCTAGGATCTATAACGATTTTATTACGCTGAGAGAAAAGGGAAATTATATGACCAAGCTGGCGATTTCCCATGCATTGGCGCAGAGTGTTAAGGTACTTCACCTCCAAATTTGTTTCATGATAACGTGCTAACTATCCAATTCAGACCTCACTCTTTGAGTCTCTCGTAGACAACACCATCGAAACATGCAAAGACATCCCGACTCAAATTGCACTAACTGGAACCATCGCCCTCTCACGAAAAGAAATCAACATGCAAATTGGCGAACTCTTCATCCTCCGCATAAACATCCATCTCAATGGTTCAGTTTTAGATACACCGGAGCTATTTTGGGTAGAACCGCAATTGGAACCAATATACCAAGCCGTGAGAAGTTATCTGGAAATGGATCAGAGAGTAAAGCTATTGAGTGAAAGATTGGATGTCATTGCAGATTTGCTGGCTGTACTCAAAGATCAGCTAAGTCATAGGCATGGGGAGAAATTGGAATGGGTTGTAATTGTTCTGATCGCCGTGGAAATCTTGGTGGCAGTTCTTAATATCGTTGTCGATTTATCGGTCGGCGAATAATCAAATCCCATTCCCATTCCCTTCTCCTTTAGTCTTCTAATAGGAATAGGAATCTTCCTTATAATTTGTACAAAACACTTCACAACATCACACAAGATCACAGGAACCGCGGGAGTTATTTTATTGGGCAAGGTTGGAAATTGAATTGTAAGATGTTTGTACATAATATTAACTTAACGTCGGACAGTACGTACCTGGTAAAAGACAACATAGCATAGCATAGCATAGCATAGCATACATAGGTAGACTCTTCAACTTCTGGATATGCATATGGATATGAATATGGATATTTTGCAACCCGAGTATGTTGGTATCTAGATGATATGATGGATGGGACAATGTAATGCATGTATGTATATACTCCAGTGGGGGATTAAGGATAGAGGATTGATAGTGGATTGATAGGAGTAGAAAGTACCTAGAATGAAAGGATGGAATAAGAAGAAAGTAGAAAGTAGAATGGAATAATGTACTCGTATATATTTACTTGAAATCTTTTCATACATGGAATCATTTCATGTTCTAAAATTTTCAAATTTTCAAATTTTAATATTGTGTATGTTCGTGGATGTCTGAAGTTTGATATCTAATATTTACTCTAGATACCTATATACCTGGTGTGATCTTAGCTCACTTCAATATAGATGAGATTCTTACTCAGTACTTTGTTTGTAGATGATATCCTGATTCTCACAGTTCCATATCTGAATCTGAAAGGTAGATCAGAATGAAAGTAGAATGAAGTAGAATGAAGTAGAATGAAGTGACTTTGCTTTAGGTAAACATACCTACCTATGTATGGTTGAGCCCACTTGCTTTGCTTTGCTTTGCTTTGCTTTGCTTTGCTTTGCTTTGCTTTGCTTTGCTTTGCTTTGCTTTGCTTTGCTTTGAGAGCACTTTCTTTCTTGTCTTCCAAAATTGGCATGCGCAACTCACTAAGAGATTTTCTACCAAGTCGTTTAAACACATTCTTGGGTATATCAAGAAGGGGCACGATTCCTTCGTAATCAAAAATAGTAAAATCATATAATGTTAATGTTACATTGAAGGAATTGGACTACCAAATACATACGCAGATCATCTCTCCACGAGAAATCCTCTCCAGGAAAATCAAAAGTAATTCTAATATTGCAAGCTGCTTGCTTATCCCTGCCCCGAACGCCAAGTTTTGACCTTTCCATTATCCCACCCGCATATCGTATTGATCCAGACCCCTTCCTGTCCTTTCCTGGACTTCAATGCAAGAAAAGTTCATCCCATCAACTCCGTATATCATATTTAGTCTCTGTTTACAGCCGTAAAGCCACCGGCTCCATTGGTTGACGCTGTTCCGTTACCATTTGGAGCCTCTTCTCGGCCACTATCTCCCATGTCTACGTCATCGTCCAAAGGGGTACCATTTCGGACCTTCTTTGCATTCTGCATCGCTTTGAATGAGGATTCGTAGCGTTCTCGGGTTTCATCATTCGTCTCTCTCCATCCGCGTGCTAAAAGCCAGTCGACGTCAACGAGTCCATGTTTGATATCGTGTCTACGTTGTACCAACATGGGTCCACGTAATTCATGACAGTAAATGTCGAAGCCTGATTTGGGTGTTTTGGGTGCGCCGGAAGGAGGAATGGATGGGGAATTGGAGGCCGAGTGTGGTGTTCGACCGCCCATATGAGTGGAGTTGGAAAGTGCGCGGCGAGGAGATATGGGCTGTGGATGGACGAGGGAGGTATTGAAGCTGGTAAAGGTCGCTTGGCTGGGGTTTGGCATATCGGCATGTGTATGTGAGAATGCGGAGGAGGTAGGTGAGATGGCGAGGCCGGCATTTAGGCTGTTAGGTAGAGGAACGGAGGGATCGCCGAGAGTATTTAGAAAGGAGGGCTTGCGATGACCACGTTTTGTGCGCAATGGCTTTTCTTGAGGCTATTGAATTCTTGTATTAGACATTCGTTCACAACAGATTATGAATAGGGGATGCGAAAGGAAAAAACGGGAGGAGACATACAGTTGGGGGTGGGCTTGGGGAACCTTCTGAATCTTCCACGTTTGTACTTGTGCGCTTCGCCATTTGTTCTAACAAGAATGCCCGCTCGAGTCGCATCTTGCTTATCGCTCGCTGCATTCTAGATAATCTGAGGCGAGCAGCGTCATTTGCTTCCTCGACATCATTCATCCGGGTCTTCAGTTGAATGCATTTCCGTTTGTATGATTCTTCAACGGATGGCGGAAGTGTTGGTGGATTTTTTGAAATCCCGTTGGACGCCATTGTAAATTTGTTATCGCTGTCCAACGAATGACGTTGGAAATGTGATTCAAAAGGGAATAAAATACTATCCTGAGCCTCACAGTGATGCGATTCTTAAAGTCCCAGATCGATGTCGCGCCGACTAATGGTTCGATGGAGATGTGTATTGAGGACAGATCTTGGCTGTGTGAAGTGAAATCTTTAATAAACTTCGGTATTGGCACTAGATTCGTTTACTAGGTTTGAAGTCCTAAATAGCTCCAAGCCTTATGAATTAGTAGAATATAATAGTTGATTGATTGCATTGTATTTTTACCTTTATTTTTTGCGCAGGTTTGACGAGTAGTAAGAAGAATTTTGTATGTTGATAATGTTTGTAAAGTATTGTAACACCCTTGTTGGTTCTCACAATAAAGCTTGAAGGTTGCATTTCATTCCCTTGGATCAATGAAGCTATTCGGAATGGCATGACGTTTATCCGATATGCACTCAATTCATTGCTGCCTCACAGAATCAGGCTCACACATCCACGCTTCCTCCACCAAAAAAGGCAGATAGACGCGACTTTTTTCCTGGAGCAGGAAGGGAAGGATAATATCAACGCAAGAGACTTTTCTACTGAACACATTTCAAGATGTCTCTCAATATCCCAAATGCGCCGAATTCTAACCTGTTCAAGCAAGGTTATCAAAAGTACGGGTTCCTTCATATCTTCTTTCCAACTTGCAACAGCTAACCCCCTCCAAGCTACGAATCCGAAGATGGAGCAGTTAGTCGTAACATCGATGCGTGCCGGACGATTGCATCAACTGTTCAGAGTTCCTTAGGACCTTATGGACGAAACAAAATTGTCATCAACCATCTCCAAAAGATGATCCTCACATCCGACGCTGCAACTATCCTTCGAGAACTCGATGTTGTACACCCCGCGGCAAAGCTTATCGTCATGGCAAGTCAGCAACAAGAAGCCGAGATGGGAGATGCTACAAACTTAGTCATTGTTCTTGCAGGAGAGCTTTTGAAGAAAGCTGAGGATCTGTTAAGAATGGGCTTGAAAACCAGCGATGTGGTTTTAGGTTACGAACGAGCACAAAAGTTTGCTTTGGAGGAGTTAGAGAACTTGGTGGTAGATAAGGTAGAGGATATGCGATCGCAGACCGAACTCAGCAAAGCTATTCGAACGGTTATTGCAAGCAAACAGAACGGCAACGAGGAATTCTTGGCAAATATGGTCGCCGAGGCAGTTTTGGCCGTTCTCCCAAAGAACCCAGTCAACTTTAACGTTGATAACATCCGAGTTGTTAAGATTATGGGAGGGAGCTTAGAACAAAGTAAGGTAGTCAAGGGCATGGTTTTTGGTCGTGAACCAGATGGATCGGTCAAGAAGGCCATCAGAGCTAAGGTTGGTGTATTTTCATGCCCAATCGATATCAGTCAAACTGAGACGAAGGGTACCGTTTTATTACATAATGCAAAGGAAATGCTGGATTTCACAAAGGGAGAAGAGACCCAGTTAGAGACTGCTATCAAGGAACTTTACGATTCCGGCTTACGAGTTGTGGTTGCTGGTTCTACCGTTGGTGAACTTGCAATGCACTACCTCAACCGCTTTGGTATCTTGGTCATCCGTATCCTCAGCAAATTCGAACTCAGAAGATTATGTAGGGTCGTTGGTGCTACTCCACTAGCTAGACTAGGAGCACCAATGCCTGACGAGATGGGAAGTGTTGATATCGTGGAAACCCTCGAAATTGGTGGAGACAGAGTCACAGTTTTCAGACAAGAGAACGAAACTACAAAAACCGCCACTTTAGTTCTTCGAGGAGCAACAATGAACCATCTAGATGACGTTGAGCGTGCTGTTGATGATGGTGTCAATGTTGTTAAGGCTATTACAAGAGATCCTAGACTTGTACCGGGTGCCGGAGCTACAGAAATTCAGTTGGTTGAGCGGATACAAGCATTTGGTGACAAGACTCCTGGTTTGGCTCAATACTCCATCCGAAAGTTCGGTGAGGCTTTCGAAGTTATTCCAAGAACTATAGCAGAAAGTGCTGGTCTTGATGCTACGGAAACCCTTAGCAGACTTTACACTGCTCACCACAAGCATGATAACTGGAATACCGGTGTTGATATCGAGGTAAGACTTGTAGTGCCATGTTGTTAGGATCATGCTAACCTTTCAATAGAATGAGGATGATACCGGGACTCTCGACGCCAAGAAAGAGGGCATTTTAGATCTTATGATTTCGAAGAGTTGGGCCATTAAACTTGCTACTGAAGCCGCAAGAACTGTGCTCTCTGTCGATCAAATTATCGTTGCAAGACAAGCTGGTGGACCAAAACCGCCAGGACCAAACCCTGTAAGTTCACGATACTTCCATGGACGAGGATCCCTCACTGACAACTCCGATAGAACTGGGACGAAGATTAGATATAATGCATTAAAAGCGCTGGGGGATGTAAAATACCAAGTCGTCATGAATTATGAAAGACAATTTACGACGTCCAACGAAACACTCTGTTTTTCTTGTGCACAGTTCCCTTTCCGCAGCTTTTTGACTCTTACCCTCTGGCTCAATCGTGCAATGCCCATCCAACGACAATGCTAACCATCGTTGTGAGCTCTATCGTAAAGATTATAGCCACTAAAATATCGTCCGGCCTACAATTAATAGACGAACCAATAAATATCCTTGGGTTAATACATCCTAGCCGCTGATTTGATGTGCCGAGTTGACGTGCAGGAGCTGATGCCAGGGTTGCCAAGCTCGTTTCAACGTTCATCTGAAATTGGGGGCGTGTGTTAAAAGTTTTTGTCGAAACCAACCAGGACAAATCCTCCTCTTCTTGGTAATCTGAATACCATCTAAAATTTAAACTCAAAACAAGGATCGGACGAACATCCTTCTTTTGTGAAATGATCAGATTAATTAGTGATTATCCGACAGCTTGACCCGAGACCTGACCCAAGACCTGGCCTCTAGCCGCCAGCTAAAACGGCTACACAGGAACGATCTCGCGACGTGTGGGGTTTCATTACTTGCAGATATGCTCAAGTGAGGTTGAAATTTTGCTTATTCAGGATTAGGAGGATCTCCTGTTAATTCTCCTCGTCACAAAGTATCTTACTCTTGAGGAATGCATATGCTGTGACCTTTCACGGGAAGTGTTTCGAAGACCGCTGGTACTATGGTTACTCAGTATCTGAGGTTGCTATATATCTTTGTAAGTTTTCGCCTTGCTTCTACATCGCAGGCTTCATTTGCGATTATTGCTGGTTCTCTACTCTCATTTCTGCTTTCTACTGTTTCATTCTCTGCTTGAAATATACCTTCTTTCAACTGCTGGACAGTCTTCCATTCCTTAAACCAGTGCACAAGTATTATTTGCTCTATACCATTCAATCATTTTCACTTCATTTGCTTACCAATCTTCAATCATGCATTTCTCCTTTTCAGTACTACTTCTAGCAGCGCGTGGTTTCGCTTCTCCCGCTTTTCGCAAAAGAATCGTCACTTCTCTTGACCAGACTGCTTTTGCTCAAGCCCAACAACGGGATGAGACTGCAACGAGGGCTTTCTCGTCCGTTCCTATCACTGTATGTTCTTCTGCGTCCATCTAGGATCAATGTGCCGCAAGCTAATAAAATGTAGACTTCTTCGGGACAGTGTCTCTTCGTGGATGAATTATCGGGTGATTTCAGGGCAAATCTGACCCCGATTCAAGTGGCTGCCTGTGATGGTAGTACGGGGCAGCTTTGGGATGTTCTTACGAGTGGGGAGCACAACAATGTGTCAGGTAGTATGTTGGTTGTCAATACGTTGGTGAGGACCATATGGCTGTTCATTCACTTCACTGTCACAGACTGACAACATCCCCAGACCCAAGCCTGCTTGAACTTCGATCCTCGCCGTGCGGCGGGTAATACCGTCATCATGTTTTCATGCGGTGGTCGGGCTGACGGAGGTATTTATCATTGCCCTTCATCAAAGTATTAATGCTGATCTTAACAAGATGGGATTGTCACAGACTCTCAGTTATTTCCGTTCAATGGAACTCCCGGCCCGCTCACGCTTTCCCCCGAAAACGCCTCCGGTACCTGTTTATCTGTTACAGCCGCCAACGTTCTCGATCAAGCGCCTTGTGATGGAACTAATTCAAGCCAAACATTCACTTTTGGTGCTTCGAGCGCCTCCACTGATCCAGCAGTATCAAGTCCTGTTCCGTTAGCCACTTCGGACATAGCAAACATTCCATCATCAACAGCCCTAGCATCAACAGTCCTAGCGTCAACAGACCTAGCATCTCCGGCGGCCACCTCTTCTTTGGCTTCTCCCGCTTCTCCATCTGTAATAGCTGCCACATCAGCTTCGCCCGCTTTACCAACAGGTGATCCAACGATCCCTCTTCCCGTATCCCGTGCAGGAGGCGTGCTCGATCCTTCAGCAGCTGCCGAAGCTAATGCAGTAGACACCACTGCCGTCAAAGCTTTCTCATCCGTCGCATTGAAAGATGCATCTGGACAATGCCTTTTCCTGGATCCTACTGCAGGTGACTTTAGACAGAATCTAATCCCAATCACACTACAAGCATGTGATGGGAGCCAAAATCAAGCTTGGGATATTATTACAAGTGGAAAGCATAATAATGCGGCGGACTCGGTACTTGTGGTTAGCAGCTTGGTTAGTTTTCTTAGTTTTTCTTTTGCTTCTTTTCTGGAAAACTGTTTTCAAAAATGCTAATTATTCTTCGCAGACTCAAGGATGTCTTAACTTCGACCCGAGACGGCCTGCTGGCGACACAGTCATTATGTTCTCTTGTGGAGGAAGAGCCGATGGAGGTATGTATTCGAGCAACTACTTTGTATTTATACGAAAATAAAGCACTAACATTCTTAACAGATGGCCTAGTAACAAACTCACAACTCTTCCCTTTCACTGGAGGTCAAACAAGCATTGTACTTGCTCCTGAAAATGGGAATAACGCAACTTGTCTTGCGGCGAATGCTGGAAAATTGGATTCTACCACTTGCAGTAGTGATGCGATCAGTCAATCTTTCACGATTGTGACGGCTTAGAGTATTGAAGGATGGTTCTGTGGATAGATTTGCGTGGGCTTCATACACATTCACTCGAATTTCTTTTAGCAGATTTGACGGGATAAAAATATTGCTGAAATATAGAGTTGGTTCAATCTTCCAGGTAGATGCATATGCGTGCATTCTTTTGCAGTGTCAAGTGTAATTAGTATACTATATTGATTGCACGATAATCTCATTTCTCGTGAGAATGATGATTTCTCTCAACCATCGCCCTTCTATAATACACTCATAATTTGAACATTTACGAATTGCTCAATTCTTAGACCTGAGATTCAAAATGTCTGATCACGATAGGGTGTCGGGAATTTGTTCTTTGAATCTGAATTCTGATTAACAAAGTCTGTTATTCGTTTTAATTCGCGGAGTCAATGAGCAGCTCTCGCGAGGTCATGATGGGTAATCGATATTGTGCTCTACCTATAATCTTTTGAACCCAGTATTATGGATGGGCAAAGTTAGCCATCGACAACAAGCTGATATCTTGCAGGCCTGTCATATTCTGGTCAATGGACACACAGCAGCGAACGCCAACAAAGTCTCGAGAAAATAAATCATAGGCAACTATGTTCTCATCGGAAAACTTCTTGAATAATTTCGGAAGGAAATCAGTGCACTTTAGTACATTTGGTTTCAACAAATCTCGTAATGAACGACAACTGCCAAGATTCAAGATCCAGAAATATTCTTGCGAGACTTCGTAAAAGGCTACAAGAAGGATGGTGCGTCCCTCGATTTCTCAATTTGAAGAAAACTCTTGAGTGCTCGAGAATATCAGAGCAGGATCACTAGGCGATCCAAGTGAAAGTATACATGTTAAACAGTCCAAGAGCTTCTGCGTCCGAGTCGCTGTATTTCCTGCTAGCGCTGGACACATTTTGAATATCTTAGCTCGAAGTCATGCTATGTTCAAATGGAGAATATTTCATAATTTGAGAGCGAAAATCCTGGCTTTCTTTTAAACATCTGGTAGAGAAGCACTGGTAGACAATACGGCAAAACAAGGAATTAGTGATCTATATATTATTTCTTTTAAAAAATAATTCCCGTCATTCCGCTAACATGCCATATCACCAGTTACATGTCAAGCTTGAAACCACCAACACATCCCTTCTGAAATAGCCCTTCAGGATCATAGCTCCTACTAACTTCCTGCAAAAACCGTAGGTTCTCCTCGCCGTAACTTTCAAATGACCTCTGCCATTTTGCACAGTAGTTCAAGTATCGCCAGTGATGACCCGTTCCATTTTTTGATGCAATTATCTCGATTTCTTCAATTGAGCGGCGCGTGATTGTTTGAACTAATTCATCATCTTCATCCTTCCGCCAATTGACAGTAAAGCTGACGAGTACGAGAGGTTCATTGATATCATGCAAACCCATGGGATTTGCATCGCCTTTACGTAGCCAATCTGGCAAAAGGGGTTGCAACACGAGCGTCCATGACAGACCTTTAACAGATCTGAGCGAAGCAATAGCATTGCGGTAGACGTCATGCGTAGAGGCCAGGGTTGCGGCGTCATTCTTGATAGTTGTGCTAGAGAGAACTTGACGTCTGCCAGGAGGGTTGAGAGCATTCATTTCATCGGTAGCATTTGTCAAAGTTCGAACTTTACAAGTGCTCCAGAGACGGAAGAGTGAGCTAAAAGAAGATGTACTCCAGCAGAGCGGCCATTTCTTTTCGGGCGAGTTTGTATGTACGAGATTAACTGAAATCGCTTGCAAGCCCAGCTGCTGGATGTAAGTAAAACAGGCTATAGGACCAGCAGCGTGCTGATCAGGGTCTTCTCGACCGACAACTTCGTGGAATGCGGCGAGAACTTTCGTGGCTTGTGAACTGGGCATGTAGAGGAATCCGCTCCATATCTTATGAGAAGGAAAGCTGTGGGCTTTGAATCGCGTAACAATGCCGAAATTGTTCGAACCACCTTTGAGAGCACGCCAAATATCGGGGTCATTGGTAGCAGAAACCGTAGTAGTTGATCCCGAGGCAAGAACAATATCGTAGCTAATGATGTTGGAGCACACTAAGCCGAACTGAGGGCAGAAGAATGAAAAACCGCCTATTTTATCATTGTGTTAGCCGTAATGTAAGAAAATAGTAGGGATATCTATAATGTTACTTCCCAAATCATCGAAATTGTTGCCATCGGAAGGACAAAGATGCATGAAAGGTTATGAGCTCACCTCCCAGAGTCAAACCTCCAACCCCAACAGCGGAGTTTCTGCCTCCGACAACAGCAAGATCTCTCTTTCATCCAAAATCTTTGAAACATCCATCCATCTGCATCCAGCTCCAATAATCACACTTGATTCTTCGTGATCCCCTAAAGGTATTATTACTTCATTGAGATTTCTTAGGTCAATCAAGACACCTCCGTTGATAGTTGCAGCATTAGGCATACAAGAGTGCCCACCACTTCTGACAGCGAATAAATGTTCAGTGTTTACCTCCCCAGACACAGATGCCTTGGCACTTTCGTCATGGCCGCGTTTGAGTATTTTGACAGCAATAGAGAGTTCTTGATCATTGCGAGGCCGAACTACACATGCTGGAGTGACCTCGCACTCTTGTTGGGCCCAGTAAGAATTTGTCGATTGGTTGAAAGCCGCAGCGTCGTGCGGGAATAGAACGCTGTTGGGCAGTGCCTCTAGGAGCTTTTTGCTGATTGCTGTAGGCTCTGGTAAATCTCCTTGTACAGGGCTTTTGGGGGCGCTCCGGAGAATGCGCATAATCTAGATTGAGATGGTGACTACCAAAATCGTCACAGCGGGTACAAAGAGTCCCTGAAAGACCATGTCTATAGTCTACAATTGTCGTTCCCTCAAAATTCTGAGAAGCAGTTGCTTTGGACCTGTTTCCTACAAGGTGATGTCTGGCTGACACATTGGACTGCAGTTGACACTCAAAGGAATACAGGTGTGTGCTATGTCGGAGGAGTAAGAACCATAAGATGCCGTAATTAAGCAAATAACATACGATTCATTGAATTGAGAATTTTCGGAAGTTTGTAGAAACAATATCGGACGAAAATGAGACATATCATAGAGCGGCACAGCAGACGCTTGCTGTCAAGTGGTGAAGCATCCGCATTCCATTGGCGAGATTCAACCACGGCTCCAGGAGAAATGGGGGGAATTGAGAATTGATAGCTGCGTGGTAAGTAGGCTTACTATAGCTTCATTTAAGTTCCAACGAAGCCTTCACCGTCCAAATATTATCGATTTTCTCATTCAAAGTTGTCAACCTAATGCGGGTCAGCAATATTTCAATTTCCAGTCTAACGTTATCTAATGAATACAACTAACCAACCACATTCCCAACTCCTTCAAAACAACGCGCATGAAAACAATCCTAAACTGTTTGTTTTGGGGGTCATCTCATCTTATGGTTGTAGGAAACCGGTGAAATACAAAGGCTAGGCATATTGGAGTTCACGAAATCACCAGCAGCTAATAACTCCCCAGTGACCCAATCTTACAATCAGCCATGGCGTGCCGGCAGTTATTCCGGGTGACAGTAATAGACTATTTCAGGCAAACCTGAGGTTATGGATCCCCGACTCTGGGACTTTTGCCGCTTCTCGCTTGTAGCTATTCATGTCTAGTTCATTCATTCTGTGGATTCCAGAATCGGCTGTGCGTCTACCAGTCTAGCCTGTGATGCTAGACTGGTTACCTTGATGTTTGTTTAGTTTGTTTTTGTTGGGTGGGTAAAGTGTATGAGACTGGATTTGGGTGATATGTTCCAGGATGCAAGAGATAACTTTCGTCGACTGAAGGATGCATGAACGGTAGGCATGCTAGAGGCGGCGATATCAGCGAGCGTCTCAGTTTGTCTGTGTCCGATTAGCCTTTCAACAACGAGAATGAGATTGAGTAATGAATATCTCATGTCCAGGTTAAGTAATGAATATCTTACGTCCTAGTAAGATATAGCCGACATTTCAAATAGGGTCGCTGGGATCACTTTGGAGTTTGGTGCGGTACTGTAGTATATACTTACTGTGGAGGCAATTGCAGCACTAGACAGAAGTTGGGTTTCTTGGTGAATGCCTACACTTGCTCCAGCAACGTATCTTACAGACCTCCAATTATGAAGATGATCAATACAACAATCTCTTTCGCAGTAGATATCTGTAAGTCTAAGACAGCCGGAATTGGAACAACGAAAGGATACTAGTCTACCAGCATGCTGATCACGCCGATAGGGATCGAGAATTGCTCAAATCCAGATAATGTCATGGCAGGATGGTTTCAAGTATTGTTTTTTTATGTCGGAGACTACTCAGTACGAAAATGCCGGAGACGGTAGCTCCGATCTACACATTAATTGTGATCCATTGCAGGGGACTGAATAGTATATAATATTGGAGGATGGGTATAAATAAGCACGAAGCTGGCGTGATCGAGGCAATATATGCAGCTGGATTCTAAGTGTCAGATGTTTCTCATAACATACATACCGTGCTCAAGATGAAGAGGGGATTAAGCCCAATGCAGAGTAAAGGAGTAAAACTTGCCCGACTCAAAGAGTAGCAAGCTTTCCGCACTACTTGCACAGTCATATTCACATCAGCCAAGTTCTTCCAAAATAATATTCAACGTGACAACCATAATTGCAAATTACAGTCACAAGATCGTCCGAAATACGACCATGCTATAATATAAGGTAAAACGGTAAATACCTCAAATAGCATCATTTTGAACTTTGATACCCGAAATAGCATATGAACTTTCTAATTAGGCCTGAATTAACACATTGTGTTATTTCAGTCGTTTTTAAATAATGTATTAATCTGATCTCAAAAAAATAAAATACTACTATTCTGGTCTCAAATAATTTATATGTTATTTTGATCGCAAAAATAAAAAGGTGCTATTCTGGTCACAAAAGCTCCAGTTCCCCAGATCCTAGTCAAACACCTTCTATTCTCCCCAGCTCTGGCCTATCAAGAAATATCTCTATACCAGATCCGTCGAATCATCAAATGCAATTACTAATACAGCTTTCGAAAATCCCTCTTTAACAATATTAGTATTATACAAGCTCTCTTTTACATAAAACTTATAATATCGAAATTCTAATTATAAGATGAAATGATTTAATAAAAATAAAAAGCGGTTTAATACTAATATTAATACTATTTTGATATAAGAGTATAGAATTATAACTTCTATATTATATAATACTTATGTTTTATATATATTTTCGCGATAGTAAACTCAATATTATATTAAGTATTCATATCACAATATATATAACTAAATCAAATTATATAAATAAATAATACTCTATTATTAAACTATAATTTCAATAATATTTATTTATTGAATAAATTAACATCTAGAGAATAGACAGAATCTATTTATAATCTTATAAAGGATATTAAGAATAAACTAAAATAATATAATAATTGTATAAATATAGAAATCTATATTTAATATCTCGAGAATAGTTGAATATAATATTTGAAAATATTAAATATAAAACAGATTTATTAATAATAATATTAAATATATTATTAAATAAAACAAAAGATTCTTTTTTGATATAATCTTGAAAAAACATTAATATAAAAAATATTAATAATTGTTACGGGTTTATTATATATGACTACCTATATCTATCTATATCTATCTATACTCATCTATATCTGTTATATATATACTACTCATTCTTAATTAGATCAAATAGATATCTATATATTATATTAGATATAGCCAGTTTCGTAGTCGTATATGATGTATATACAG